TGGTGAGTGGGGGTGGGGGAGCTTATTATGGGATAGCTCTTTGTACCTACTGCGGGGACTGCTTCTCCAGAAGATATTATGGGATGTCGTGTGTGGGAGGGGGAGTGGGGCTGGGGGGATTATTATGGGATGGTGGTGCAGAATGGGGAGGGCCCGAGGAGCTCTTCTCCATACCCCCATCTCCTCACCTCTTACCCTCTTCCCAGCCTCTTAAGGACGGCCTCCCTTCGGGAACGGCCCAAGGCAAGCACACCTGAAATCCACCTCTTTACACACACAGGCGCACGCGTGTACACACACACACACACACTCTCTGGACCATCCCAGGCATCTCCTCTAACTAGCAGACACCTCAAAGGTGCTCAGGGGAAAAGGTGGCCTCCCAAGAATGGGGAGAAAGCCCCCAAAGCAGGTGTGCTGGCCAGTGGGTCACACCTGGCACCTGCACGACGTCCTCTTTGGCTCTCTAGCCCCTCGTGCCACTCTGCTCCCCTTCTCCCCCGACCCGTGAAGTGGGGGCCCTTGATCTTCCAGCCTCCCCCCTCCCCTGAATTTCCTCTCCAAGTCCCTCCACAGCCGTAACCAGTAAAACAGGCGGCCAGCTATTATGGGATGGCTGCTCCCAGCAGCTCTGCAGGGAGGGGGCGGTCACCGCGGAATGTCTCTTGTGGGTGGCTATTATGGGATGGCCGCCTCTCTTTTTTTGGGGGGGTGGGGGCTCGCCAGGAGGATTATTATGGGATGTGCCCTGCACAGCTGGGTGGGGCTGTCCTGGGTAGGTGAAGCTCTGGGGAGGCGGAGGAGGGGAAAGGAAAGGAAGGAAGGGGGAGGGAAGGAGCTGGGGAGGGTGGGGTGAGCCGGGAGCCAGACCTGAGGCCTGGCAGTAGTAACTGGCTGGAGAGGTTTCTTTGGTGACAGCTGTTTGAAGGGGCCCCTGGGGCAGGCTAGAGTGAGCCATAACCTGGGGCACCTGGGTCCTTTCCCCAGCTTCTGAGCTACAGGGTGAGAGTCAGGGCTGCCAGTGCTGCGGAAGTGAGAACCCCTAGGCTCTGGCTGCGCGCGGTACCCAGGTGCTCCCTCCACCTTTGTCTTCCTGGGTTTGAGCCTTGGGACCAGCATGGGTAGGGCTTTGCGCACAGGGAACTTTGCTACCCTATAATACACCCGAGGAACAGCGGCTGGGGTGGCCCCTGGAGGACAAGCACCTGATACAGCACCTGCCAAGACCCCCACAATCCGTCCAGCCATCCCGGCACAACGGCACTGGTTTTCTCCCCTCTGCGGTCTCCCTCGCGTCCCTTTGGGTCTCTTATGAGCGGTTTCTGGGTTCACATGGAGCAGAGATGTGAGGAGATGAATTATAGAGCATATGCTGAAAACCCCATGGACAGCCCACTCTGAGTATTATTCTAGATCCTTCTGTGTCATGGGATGGAAACAGAACTCTAAGGTAACTGGCTAGGGAGGTGGCCCCCCTGGGTATATTAATTAGGAGATTATCCCACCCTTAGTCTCTGCGGGCCAATCATGCGAGTGGTTTATTTATAATTTATCTGGGAGGGCAGGATGGGGCCGGGGTAGGGAGAGAGGCATGGAAGTATTATGGCCGCAAAAGCAACGCGCAAAGCCCTCCTCTAGCCCTCCCTGGGACTCAGGATGGGAGGAAGGAGTTGTCACCTCTCCCTGCTCTGGGGGGAGTAGGACGCAGGGAATAAGTGGGCGGAACCTGGCGTGCATGGTGAGGCCAGAGGGAGGGTGGTGGGCAAAAGGTACCAGGACTAATGTTTTTGTAGTTTCCTATAGATGTGTGTGCTGGCCAGAGACAGTGAGAAAACACTCCCGGGGGAGGGCCACGCCACAATCCCTTTTCCCTCATTTCTTCTTTCAGGATTTGGGCACATGCACATGTGTGCACACACACATACTTAGCGTGTATCTCAAGCCCCTGGGTCTGGGACTCAAGCCACGCAGTGGGCATCCGGGATCTAACCACCTTAACCACCATACCACCTGCTGGCCCAGCAAACCAAGATCTAAAAAAAATAATTAATTTTACTTATTATTATTATTTATTATTATTTTGGGGAAATCTTTTGCTATAGGGCGTGTGTGCTCACCAGAAAGACAGAGAGAGACAGAGAAACAGAAAGCAAGAAATCACCCCCTGGGGGGAATGGCCATGCTGCAATCCCTTCTCCATTCTCCTCTCAGGATCTTGGGCATGCACGCACACACGCCCGGTGTGAATTTAAGCCACCGGGTCCGGGACTAGAACTGTGGTCGACTACATGGGAGTCCAGCAACATAGCTATTATGCCATCACCTGGTCCCTAATATTATTTTTTAATACACCAGAGAGAGACAAAGAGAGAAAGAGAGAGAGAGAAGGTGAAAAAGCAAGCCATCAGATCTGGGACTTGAATTGCAGTCAGCCATGTGGGTGTCCAGCACCTTTTTCTTTAAAAAAAGAAACATTATTGGGACCAGCAGTTAGTGTAATGAGTGGCTATGTCACTGGACTCTCGAGTCGACTGCAGTTTGAGTCCCAGACCTGGTGGCTTAAACTCATGCCGGGCGCATGTGCGTGCGTGCCCAAGATCCCGAAAGGAGAATGGAGGAGAAGGGATTGCGGTGTGGCCATCCCCCCTGGGGGGTGATTTCTCACTTTCTGTCTCTCTGTCTCTCTCTGTCTATCTGTCTCTCTTTCTGGCAAGCACACATGACCTATAGCAAAAAACTCTCATCCCCCAAAATTATTTATTTAATTTTATCATCATCATTTTTTTAAAATCTGACTGGAGAGAGACAGAGAGAGAGGGAGGGAGAGTGGGAAAGCCAGCCACTGGGTCCTGGACTCAAAATGTGGTCCCCCATGTGGGATTCCAGCCTCAACCACCACACCACCTGCTAGCCCCAAGTGTAAGGGTGTTTAATCACAGGTGCGAGGCTGTGACTACCCAGTTAGCTCCCTGACGGGTTTACAGGAGCCAGTCGCTGTGGTAGTGCAGTATGTTCGTGTGCGAGGAAGGGTGGAGGACAGATGGAGACACTGCTAAGAGGAACTGGAGGCCCAGAGACAGGCTGGATCCCCCCAGGACTGGGGATAGGAAAGGGCATACGGGGGGCACAGGTGGCATGGTGGTTGAGGGCCCCAAACGCCCACATCGCCGACCGCAGCTTGCATCTTGGACCTGCCGGCTTACTTCTCACTTTCCCTCTCTGTCCCACTCTGTTCAAATTAGAATAAATAAATAAAGTTAAATAAAAATAATTTAGAAAAACGAAAAGGCCCAAGAGGGACCTGGCAGCTCTACGTAGGAAGGAGTAACTTCCTCGAAAGGCGGTGGTGTCTTTCCTGGATTCATGATAGAGTGTGAGGTGGGAGAAAGGGAGCAAGAAGCGCCCTCCCCAGGGTCTGAGCACGCCGCCACACCCTCCTCAGTCCTCCAGCTTGTGGGATCCTGGGCGCTCACGCAAGTGTCCGGTGCGTTTCAAGCTGGCTGGGCCAGGGGGTCGAACCACGGTTGCCATGCGGGATCCAGCTTCTCTGGGGCACAGCACATTATCATGTACAGCAGAACCAGCTCACGGTACAGTACCTTACAAAAGCTGCCTCCTTTACCCTCGTGGAGCAAGAATTCATTCTTCGTACTCACAATAGGATGGAGGACGGTTTGGGTGAGTGGGTAGAGAGGACAATTGCTTTTTTTTTTAATAGATTTTTGTCTTAGGGCACATGCACTTGCTGGAGAGACAGAGACAGTGAGAGGGAAAGTGAGAAATTATCCCCCCGGGGGATGGCTATGCCACAATCCCTTCTCCTTCATTCTCCTCTTGGGCTCTTGAGCATGTATGTACACGTGCCCAGTGTAATTTTCAAGCCACCGGGTCCAGGACTCAAACTGCTGTCGGCCATGTGGCAGTCCAGCAATATAACTGCTATGCCATCTGCTGGTCTCCAACTTTTTAAAAAGTTTTTGCCATAGGATGCATGAGCTTGCTGGAGAGAGAGGAAAAATTACCTCCGGGGGGATGGCCATGGCCATGCTGCAATCCCTTCTCTTCCCTTCTCTTAGGATTTTGGGCACGCATGCACACACACTCAACATGATGTTCAAGTTGTTGGGTCTGGGACTTGAACTGTGGTTGGCCATGTGGGAGTCCAGCATCTTACCCACCATGCCACCTGCTGGTCCCTAGAAAGGCCAGTTTTGATGTCCAGAGAATTAATGAGGGAGACTTTAGGAGCCTCACATGATGGGGAAAATGGCTGGCGTATCACAATAAATACGAGAGAACTTCCAAAAGTTTATGGGAAAATGGAATTGAAGAACAAATTTATTAGGGTGCAGAAGATTTTTTTTTTTTTTGAGAGTTATTTGCTGTAAGGTGTGTATGCTCGCCAGAGACAGAGAGATAGAAAGCGAGAAATCCCCCCAGGGAGAATGGCCAGGCCACAATCCCTTCTCCTTCAGTCACCTCTTGGGATCTTGGGGACACACACACACATGCCTAACACAAGTTTTAAGCTACCAGATCTGAGACTCCACCCATGGTCAACTATGTGGGAGTCCAACAATATAACCATTACGCCACCTGCTGGTCCCAAAGATTTGTTTTTGAAATCTATCTATATATATAGTATTTTCATCATATGCCTTTTCCATGAACTTTTTGAAGCCCACCCGCCTTGTACAATAAAAGGGTGGTCCAGGGAGTTGGAGTAGATTTTAGGAAAAGAAACACGAAATTCAAAAGTAACAATGAGAACTTTTGGCAAGACCTGATCACTTAACTCTCGTTGAAAACTCCAGTCCTGAAATGAGGAGAGAGTTAAATGTGGAATTACATAAATCAGGCAGGAGCTGGTGGAAAGACTTGTCAGAATCACTGGTGCTGGGGGCCGGCAGGTGGCATGGTGGTTAGGGTGCTGGACTCCCACATGGCCAACTGCGGTTTGAGTCCCAGGCCTGGCAGCTTGCTTTCTCACTTTATCTGTCTCTATGTCTTTCTGGTCAAATTGAAATAAATAAGTGAAGTTAAATAAAATAATTCTTAAAAAAAGAAAGAAAGAAAGAATCACTGGTACTGTGCTTGAGAACAAAGACTGTAATGTCCCCAAGCAGGCCCTTACCTCTGCCGAACTCATTCTTCCTCGCCAGCTCTCCAGCCCCTTGGATCTCGGAGGAGAGGAGAGTCATCTGGCCAGGCCCTTTCTCTAGGGAAGTAAGATGAGAAGGGCACTGCAGAGATGGCATGAGATTCAGCCTGCTCACTGCTGGTCAGGAAGGGCCCTACCTACAAGGACATCCCAGTCTCTGTTTTTCCCCCATAATTAGAGAGAGATTTTTGGTATAGGGTGCATGTGTTCACCAGAGAGACAGGAAGCAAGAAATCACCCCCAACAGGGGATGGCTACACTGCAATCCTTTCTCCTCCATTCTCCTCTTGAGACTTTTGGACACACACACACACACACACACCCAATGGGAGTTTTAAGCCGCTGGGCCTGGGACTCGAACCGTGGTCGATTATGTGGGAGTACAGTGAC